AATATTCGTGACTGCTATCTCTGATGCTCAAAAGCGCCGATTATTGTTAATCAGCAGATTATAAAGTTAGAAGTTTTCAAATCACCTGATATTGAAAAACGATCTTGATTCTTTTGTCTTCAAGAAGATCGCTGAACCAGAGGAAACGAAGAGAGTGAAATGCGGCTGAAGTTATGACTGTTACCTTGCATTGCTGACAGTATTCATCATACGAAATCTCTGGATTCCAGTGTACAACCATTAACGTGCTTAATATTTCAGCAATAAAGGGTGAAGTCCTGATCCGGAAGTGCTGATCCGATTTGAATAATAAAGCGTAATAAAGGGTCACCAGAGGTAGACTTAAGAAAAAACGCGTTTGTTCAAACTTCATTTGAAAATACTTATCTCAATTTTTCCTGCAGTTTCTTCTACAGAAATTTTATGATCTAGTAGAATATAATGAAACTGTATAAAATGAATTATGTTTAAACCCATTTCAATTTGACTGTCAAGTACAAACATTATTTTTTGACAATGTTTACGTAAGTTTTTTGAGATTTTAGTCATTAAAAGTTTGCTGAAAAACAAAAATAAGGTGATATATTTCAACAGTTTTAACCCTCATTTCACCAGAAAGACACATTTGAATAAAAGTTTAATTTCTTAACTTAGATCAACAACAAATAGAGAGTTGCGAGAGATTGGTATATATCCTCGGTATGGCATATCGACATCTACCGCGAGCAAATTGACGTGATAAGTCCTAAACACTTTGTAGAAAAAATGCTGAAAAGAAACCTGATGAAATAAAGGCAGATCATGATCTGCCTTTATTTCATCAAAATTTTCATCAAAATTTATTTCATTCAATTTTTAAAGACATGAATGACTTGCAAACAAATGGCTTAACAGTACCAACCGTTAGTGGTAATTTAAAATTTACATTTACAGTACTATGTGGTGGCAATCTGGCTTCCAATGATACTGGAGGGTTTCAGCAATCATTTTCAAGTGGAAAATTCTGTCGATGATGCCATATCTCGTATGATGAACGTACAATTTTACTAACAGAATTAACACTTATTCCACGTGATGAAGCAACACATAACCAACATTTACAACAAATTATGAATGATCCAAATCATCAACCAATTAATGGTGTTGTGCATCGAAGTCCATTAGAAGACTTAGATGGCTTTCATGCAACAAAATCGTTGCCTCCCGATGTGATGCACGACTATTTTGAAGGTACTGATCCTTACATCAAGTATTGGTATTTTGTAAAATTTTATTTACTTTTAGGGGCTTGCACAATAATTATTTTGGCAATGCTCAAAGAAGGTATATCTTTTATACAGCTAGTTTGTCTTATCAACCAAAGATCAAATGTGTAGTGTCAACCAATACGAAATGAAAATAGTATATGATTTATTAATGTAGACCGGTTTCGT